AGGACATCCTCAACGCCATCGCTCTCGACATCAGAACCAAGAGCAGAAGACGCGTGCAGCGGCAGCGCGAACTGGATGGTGTCCGGTCGACTCTTTCCAACTTGCACGAGAAAGCCAAGTACCTCGAGCAGCAACGCAAGAGCTATGACGATTACATCGAGTCAGCCATGGCGACGCTACAGAAGAATAAAGGGTAGGTCTATCGAACTCCATTGTGCCGTCTCAACCTTTCGGACCCCGGATGGGTCCACCTCCCCCCATTTCTCCATATTATAAGCACGGTCCATGTGTGTCGCCATAAGCTGACTAAATCTCGTCATTATAGGAAGAAACGGTTTCTGCTTCCGTTCACCAAGCAGTACAACCACCAGCGCGAACTGGAACGTACCGGGCGGGTCCCCAAGTTTGGCAGCTACAAATATAGCGCTCGGGCTCTCGCGGAGAAAGGCGTGCTCGTCGGGTGGAGTGGCGTCACCGACTGGGAGAGGGTCAACCTCACCATTTCTTGCGACGAGGTGGGCGTCTTCTCCCTCGAGGGTTCCCGCGGCCACATCCAGATGCCAGGCGCCAGCGCCGAAATACCGATTGAGGATCTGCTACAGGCACAGTTCGAGGCTCACCAGTTCATGAACCTTTTCGAAGGGAATCTCAAGCTCAACGTCAACTTGCTGCTGCATCTTCTGTACAAGAAGTTCTACCGCACGCAGTAAGAGGGGGAGAGAAAAGATGCAGCAAACCAGCATGAGGTGAGAGAATGAAAGGGTACATGAGACATGGATTTTGACGGGACGGTGGGCGGGGCGTGCAGGATATTTTTACCCTCTCCGGTATGCATGAGAAGGGATGTCACTCGGGCCCAGGCAAAGGCCTTTTTTTTCCCCCTCTCTCTCGTCGTGGCCGTCTTCTCTTCGATATTGCATTGCGGGGTAAAACGAAAACTGGAATCAATTAGGAGAATATTGCTTGTGGGGGGGAGTATGTATGAGCAAACACCGACGACTACGACATAACAAGGACGACGACAATCACAACAACAATAACAAATCATTCGTTAGGGGGTGAGCAGAGCAGCCGTCCTTCGCTGGGGAAGGGTTGTTGCTGCCGTTGCTCACCCCCCACCAAAGTAGGGAAACTAGGAATTTCAAACGACGGATGAGGAGCGAGGGGAGTCTTTTGGAGATGCGGCGGGGGAAAAGGGTTGCATAAGAGGTTCCCCTCTACGTTAGGTCTTTTTTAGTAGTCGCCTTTTTTTTAATCAACTTTTGAATGATGCGGCCCCGCATTGTCGAACGCTTTCTTGTGCTTCTTCGTCCTGCCCCTCCCGGTTTCTCGTGTGTCGGAGATATGTTATCTCGACTATGCCGACGGTAGACGACGTGCCCGCAAGCTATGCTTGGCAAACCACAGGAGGGACGGAAGCTAGCCTTGTGGACGGCGTGGTGTTGTGTGACCTCGGAGGTCGCGGGACGGGCATTGCCAAGAGCCAGCGGCGAAACGCCATTTCAAGTCATGTGAGATTATTCGAGACTTTGGGGACCAAAAAGACGAGAGGCCTCGAGGGGGAAGAAGGGGAGGGGAGGGCAGGGCAGGGAACGTGAAACTATACAGACTTGTCTAGAAAGAGGGGTGTGCAGGCTGCGGACGTTATGCTGCCATCAGGTCTTTGACAGTCGCTGGCAAAGGGGCATGGCATGGATGGATGGATGGACCAATGTGTTGCGCCTCCTTGCCGCCAGATGTCGAGGAAGTGCCCAGCAAGACCAGGAGGGCGAGAGGGCCAATATGGGCTGGGCAGGCAGCTCGATGCGATGTTCTGGCCGATCATCGATGACAACTCACGACCGCCGATTCGCGGCGCCTTTTCCCATGGCGGGGCGGCCGGGGCCTACTCACTTATCATGTCTATGATGGAACGAGCAGCGGCCCGGCCGGTGCGGTTGTCGGTGCGGTTGCCGGTGCGGTTACCGGTGTAGTTAGATGGTCAAGATCCCACACCTGATACTATAAAGGCAGAGAGGGTGGTGGTGCGGTTTCTTTTCCGCGTAGAGCAGTATATTGGTTTGCAGCATATCTTGTCAGCCTTCTCGACGAGGGAAGGTTGATTTGTTGTTCGCTGTTGGTTGGTGCGCTGGCGAGCGTGATGTTGTGATGAGGGGGGGGGGGGCGGCTGGGCATGTCTCAGTTCGGCATAATGAGATGTGATTTGATGCTGGGCCTGGGGTTAGGGTGCAGGTTCAGACGTGGTGTTGCTGTGCTGGAGCAAACACTTGCGATGCACTTAACGGGTCGTGTGTGATGTGTTATCAGATGACCGTTTGTGTGCAGCCAGGGTCATGTCACGACTCTGCAAGAAAACGGGCTCGCTAGCCTGGCACACAACATGGAGGCTGACCAAGCACACAAAGCATGGAAGGCGGCGGTGCGGGTAGGCGGGAGAAGAGGGACGGATCGTCGGGCAGGTTCGATCCTCGCCCTTGCTGGGACATCGGAAGGTAAGCCTCGAAAAAAATGACAGCTGTGGTGCTGATGCTGCATTAATCGCCGGATTCGTTGCGAGTGAAACGACGACTTGACCTGGGTGCCCGCTGCTAGCTGATGAAGCAATACTGGAGCGCGATGATGTGATTGCGGTTTGGCTTGACCGGAAGCTGGGGGCCATAAGGCCGGCGGTAAGTGATTAGGATGAGAATGGGAAATTGGTACGTGCGCCAGTGGCCCGTGGACGATGGAGCACACAAACCTTGGTGTAAGCCACGCCCGGAGTATAAGAACTTATGCCGATGGCGTGACCGGCCTCGAGGAGGGCAACCCCGCAAATGCGGGGTGTGATGCGGCTTGAGGACGGAGGTAGACGCCATCATAATGTCCTTTTAGTAGTAGAAACTGTGAGATTGAAGATGCAGTCGTAGAATACAGGAGCCCCCTCAAAAAAAGAAAAGACAAAAAAAAGACAAAAAAAGCTAGGTAGAATTGTCATGGCATCAGCTCGGGCTGGGGAATCTGAATGTAAGCCGAGACGAGGCGAGATCAGCGGCTGCGGACTCCAACAAGTTCCTTGCTGCATTCGTTTCCGTCTGGATTATGGAGATCCGGCCCATTCGCTTCAATTCGTAACCGAACTGCTGGTGCCTTTGTCCTGCATGCGTAGACTGGGGTGTCTGTAGATGCACGTGTAGTATTAGACACCACCTTGGAGACGTGATCTGCTGGTGCACAGTATCTCTCGCTTGAGACTCATATTGTTCATTCGTCCTTTGCCCAGCCTTCGCGTCCCTATCTGTGGGAATGTGGTTAAAGCGTGAACGGAGTGTTCCGTAATCTTGTCGCGTGTACGGTGGGGTGGAATTCCCTCCGTCGCCTAAGCGTTGCCCAGGAAAATTGATTGCTGTGGCATGTCAAGCTCGCAACCCCTCCAGCTAATCGGAGGAAACCCTGGCAGGGTTGGGTGACGCTTATGCAGGTTGAGGCCTGGTGTTTGGGTACATGCGAAGATGCAGGAGGGCGATTGGGGTTTAGCCGCCGGGGTCCAGGGGTCCGTATAGCAGGGAAAAGGCGAGGGAAAACAAATCTGTATTCCTCCTCGAAGCATAACGAATGCCGTTCGTGCTCCAGAGTGTCCGACCACTGATCACGCGAGAGGCACGGTGCAGGCCAATCCATGCTCGACGTCCCAGAAAGTCTAGCCGCTCGTTCTTGTGGTTGTTGTTGTTGTCGTCGCTGATTATCGCATGTGGCGGCGATTTGTCCACACCGCCATCTAATCATCGACATAGCCATCGGAGGCTAGCCACATTGGAATTGCGAACTGACGATAAATGGAAACCAACGAGGGATATGTAGCTTCTTATGATGCAAAGATGTCCGCACGACGATCATGGATTCAAAACAAGACGACTTGACGTTGGATGCGACCTGGAAGAGGTAGGTGAATGGCGGAGTGTTGCTCCGCTTGTATGATTTCGCCATTGTCCGATCGAAAAACGTCATATTTGACACATGCGACGACCTCCGCTTCCTAGGCGATTGAGTAAGGTGGCGTGTAGGTGTCCGTGTGCCGGTGGTGTATGCGTAGTGGCGTAGATGGATGGATGACATTACACTAGCGAAAGGAGAAGAAGGTCGAGGAAGTGAAAGAGTCATCCATCCAACCCACCGGTGCTTTGGCCAAAGGGTATTGGGACATTGGTAAGGCGTCTGGCCGGTGACCCAAAACCACATTACTTTCATTATCTGTCTGGATAAGGAGATCTCGATTTTCGTGGACTGCGGGCTCCGGCTGGTGTATCCCTCCTATTCTGAGCCCCGTTTTATTGCATGAGTTGGAACAGGATCCGCCAAGCTGGGATGTGATGGTGGGTCACCCAAGGAGGGGTGTGCAGATAAGTCATGGCTATCTGGGGTATCCTTATCTGGGGCACTCAAGGGACTACCCTGCCTTTGTATATATGCATATATATGCATATAGACAATCCGTCCCGTTTGGGCGTCGCTCCTTACCTTTGCTTCCTCAGTCTCTTTCTCCACGTCGTTCCGTCGTCGCTTCCTATCGGGCTCCATGGGGCGGCGGGAGTCGAGACGGATGGGACTGGCTTCCCCCTTCTCTCTTTACCCCCCCGTCACTGCTCCCTCCCGTGGCGCACTTTCTTAAAGGACAGCTTCTCCCACATATTTTCTCATCCGGTCCTTCTCTTTTTTTTTTTTTTTACTGCGTTGCCTCGAAGTTTGAGCTGGTTGTGCCTGCCCTTACACATATTGCTGGTCGGTCGTCGCGTTGTCTTTGATCACGTATAAACTTTGATTGTTGCTCATCATCACCCTCGACGCCCACACCAACCCCTTCCTTTATAAACTGCCAGACCGCCTTCTTGTCTACCACTACAAAGGAATCTTCCTGCCACCACACGCACCCCGCAGGAAACTTCCAAATCGTCCGTGGCTCACCCTCTTGAGTTTCAAAGACAACTTATCTCTTGTTCATATTGTTGGTGTCTGAGAGCACAATGGCTCCCGACCTCAACTCTCTTCCCTCATCGCCTGTGGCGCAGCCTGCTCACAGCAAGCCGGCCAACGGCAATGGCGCAACCAGCGCGAAGCAGCCCAACATTCTGTTCATCATGGCCGACCAGCTGGCTGCACCCCAGCTGAAGATGTACAACCCCGAGTCCCAGATTAAGACGCCAAACCTGGATGCTCTTGCCGCCGAGTCTGTCCAGTTTGACTCGGCTTACTGCCCCTCGCCGCTTTGCGCACCCTCGCGCATGAGCTTGATCACCGGCCTCCTTCCCATGAAGATCGGCGCATACGACAATGCCAGCCAAATCTCGAGTGAGGTTCCGACCTACGCGCACTACCTGCGCTTGAAGGGCTACCACACGGCCTTGGCTGGCAAGATGCATTTCATCGGTGACCAGCTACACGGTTACGAAACTCGCCTCACCAGCGACATATACCCGGGCGACTTCGGCTGGGTGGTGAACTGGGATGAGCCTGACACTCGTCTCGAGTGGTACCACAACTCGAGCTCCATCCTCCAGGCCGGCCCTTGCGTGCGAAGCAACCAGCTGGATTACGACGAGGAGGTCATGTACCGGTCGACACAGTTCCTCTACGACCACGTCCGCGAGGGCCCTGAAAAGCGCCCTTTCGCTCTTACCGTCTCTTTGACTCACCCTCATGACCCTTACACAATCGAGGACAAGTACTGGGACCTGTACGAGGATGTTGATATCGCTCTTCCCAAGGTCCGCATCCCCAAGGAGGAGCAAGATCCCCACAGCAAGCGTCTCATGAAGGTTTGCGACCTATGGGACTACGACTTTACCGACGAGCAGATCAAGCGAGCCCGCCGCGCCTACTACGGCTCCGTCAGCTACGTCGACGACTGCGTTGGTAGGCTCCTGTCCGTTCTGAAGAAGTGCGGTCTTGACGACAACACCATCATCGTCTTCAGCGGCGATCACGGTGACATGCTGGGCGAGCGTGGGCTTTGGTACAAGATGAGCTACTTTGAGTCCTCTGTCAGAGTTCCTCTCTTCGTCCGCCACCCCCACGAGTTCGAGCCTCACCGCGTGACCAAGAATGTGTCAACGCTCGACATCCTTCCGACACTTTGCGATCTGGTTGGTACGAAGCCCGCGCCCGGCTTGCCGATGGACGGCACGTCGCTGTTGCCCCACTTACAGGGCAAGACGGGCCACGACAAGGTCTACGCCGAGTACACGGGCGAGGGCACTATCAGTCCGCTCGTGATGATTCGTGAGGGCCCTTGGAAGTTCACTCATTGCCCTGTCGACGGCACTCAGCTGTTCAACCTTGAACATGACCCCCTGGAGCTGGTCAACCTGGCGTCCCAGAAGGCCATCTCCGGGAAGTTGCTGGAGGAGGAAGCGAAGGCAAAGCTCGAGGAGTACACGGCCGAGACGAAGGCCAAGTGGGACTTTGACGCCATCACCGAGCAGGTCCTGCAGTCCCAGCGCAAGCGTCGGCTGGTATGGGGAGCTCTCACCCAGGGAACTTTCACCAGCTGGGACTACGACCCGGTTGATGACGGCAGAATGAAGTAAGTCGAGCTTTCCCAATCAAGACAGAGCCAACATCTAACGATCCCCAAGGTACATCCGCTCGCAGATCCCTCTTGATGATCTCGAGCGTCGCGCTCGTTACCCTCCCGTAGACAAGTACGGCCGGGAAGTCGACAGAGCGACGAACGGCCAAAGAGTTTACAGCCAGGCTGGGTCACACGGCCAGTAAAGCTTTTGATCTATATCCTTTTATGATGACGAACCTTGCAAAACGCATTTTCACGACGGCGTCCGGGGGGGCATTTGGTCAGGATTTCAACACGCATTTCACCTTTGTTGTTGTTTTTGTTGTTGCAGATATCGGCATTGCGATTCATTGCGTTTGAAGCATAGCCACCTGATGGGTCAGAGGCCCTCTGCATAGCATATTTTGATAGGGTCGCCGACGACGGGGCCTAAAAGTTAGGAGAGAAACTATTACCAACACATTGCCACCGTGTGCCACCTTGAGAGTGAAACTGTTCGGAGGATACCCACCAATGTGCATTGCCCACAAGCCTAGCTGGCCACAAGATCACTGCGGTATGCGACTACCGAGAAATTGAGACTTTGTTTGGCTTCATTGATGACATGGTTGTGTTATCAGGCACATCACGAATGCCATTGGGTGGAAACATGCACGAGAGAAACCGATTGTGGCCCGTTGCTTCTCATTAGTGTGACTGATTGCTCAAGTAAGGTACATATACAAGGCGGTCCGGTCCCTCTTCAGGTTGCACAGGCACACAATAATACTCCGACGACTGATCGCTGAGCCCTTCCCACGACAGTCCGTCCCTATCCGGCCCTCCCTGATTAACAATTGGCGATCCGCCTTGACGCATGGCCCCTGCTCCCCCTCAACAGCAAGCTTCACAGGAATGCGCCGACCGGTAATTAGTGGGGGCACCGCTCAGAGCTCAGACTGCGTGAAGCGGAGCTCGGCGGGCCCCACTAAACCCCACAGGCCGATTTTCTAGAACGTCACGTCGCCGACGGGGGTCGAAGCTTCTTAGAACCGCACCTCAACTTCAACCCCCAAAAACCCACCCACGATCGCGAAGCTCCGGGCCTTCGCAAACGAGTGACCCAACTCCCCCCCTTCACTCCACTCGCGAAACGTCTCAATCAATACCGAAAGATTCTGCCTGCGGCAACCGTAATCCCGAAAACGTGACTCTGGCGCGTTGGTCGCGACTGAGAAGAGCCTCCCCCCAGGACGACGGATTCCCACCGATCGAAGCTTCCACATTGCGGCGCCCGCTGGCCTCCTCGACGGTAATACGCGGTCATGGAGAAGCCAAATGCGCTCGGCATATCCGCCGACGAGTTCAAGGCGATTGAGCAGACGCGCCAGCGCCTGTTCCAGCTCTCCAACAGCATCCAGGGGTTGAAGATTGATGTCTTGAAAAGCAACCCCCTTCCGCCCCCGTGAGTTGCACTCCGCCATCCTCCTAACTGCTTACCCCTACCACAACTTTCTCTATTTCGTGTGTCCGATCGTCCACAAAAAGCCTCACAGAAGAAACCGAGAGATATGTGAGGCTAACCATGGCCCCCTTTCCAGATCATCCCTCCAGGCGCAATCCCAGATCCTCCTCCGCAACCTCCAGTCCCTCCTCGAGACGCTGACGGAGAACACCCACGTCTTCCAGCACCTGCATGTGTTCCCGGACGTCGCGTACCCGGGCCGCGTGCACGAGAACATCCTCACGCAGCTCCTCCGCAAGAAGCTCGAGCCGGGCGTGGAGGAGTGGGTCGAGCGCGGGCGTGAGGCGACGAATGAGCTGCGCGCGTCCGCGCCCGGGGGCGTCGGCGGCGGCGGCGAGGCCGGTCTCGAAGAGGTCTGGCGCGGGGTGCGCGACTGGACCGTCGAGCGCGTGCAGCGCTACGTCCTCGAGGAGGCGGGCGACGTCTACACGGCGGAGGAGCGCGAGCGCGGCGTCGAGAACGTGAGGACGGGGCTGAAACGCAGCCTCGAGGACGACGAGGACGACGAGGACGACGATGAGGAAGATGAGAGCGACGAGGAGGGCGGGGTAGATGGTGACGTCGTCATGTCAGGGCAGGGCCAGCAGCAGCAGGCGAAGCCGCCGAAGCCCACGGGCCCCGAGCCGGAGATGCTGTTCTGGTTCGAGGCGAGGGGGGACTTTGACCTGCCGCAGAACGTGGACCTGCTGAGCCAGGCCGGCCTCAAGCGCGGCCCGATGGGGGTGAGGAAGTGAAAAAGGTTTTTACCCCCAAGGGTCCGGGGGGAGGATATGATACCCAGCCGCGACGTCGGCTTTTTTTTTTCTACTCGTAGAAAGTTTTTCACGAAATCAAGCGCGTTCACATGATTGATGTTGATTCTCTCTTTCGAGCTGGCCACTGATGCGATGTCCAGTTTCAGAGAGCCTGCGTGGAGACCGGGCTTGGAAGTTCCTCCGCCCTTCGTACGAGATCACCCGTCGCATGTTTCAGGAATCACTGATACGACATGGCCGATGTTTGAAGTAGCCAGCTTCAACTCACGTTTTCTTGTTCAGTTAAGAGAGCCTTGTTCTTCTTGTCATATAGGTAAACATCGTGTACAGATCTCAGGGCGCAACACTCCTCCTCTTCCTGGGCCTCCTGAAGTTGTCTTCCTTACGCTAAATCGAGTCCTTCCGTCCGCATGGGTCAACAAGGCAATGCTATTGCGGACCTGCGCTGGAGCCATCAGGGTGCGCGTTGCGCATGTGTCGTCTGAGGTCTTCGAGGGTACTGAAGCCCTGGGTGCTGACGCTCCGCGTGCGGGTGTCGAACATCGGCCTGCGGGTGCTGCATCCGGAGACATTGCATATGTAGTCTACGTGGGGCTGTCGCTTATTTATGCTGGACGATGTCAGCACGGTCATTCGATATTGGCCCCATCATGCCACGAACTCACGTCTGGCTTGTGATACTTCCATCGGCCTCCGCATACTCGTCGAATGAAATGACAGTCGGCAGCGTTGAAGCTGTGGTGTGGGAACTCATACTGCCCGCGCTACTCGAATCGACACTATGAGGGTGGATCTGTTCTATTCGGTTCCACGAAGTGTAGTTCTGTCTCCGAGGAAACGAGTAGGGGGACATACTGCCCGCGCTGCCCAAATCGACAATATGAGAGCGGGGCTGTTGTCTTGGTTTCCACGGAGCGTGACCCTGTCTCCGAGGAAACGAGTAGGGGGACATACTGCCCGCGCTGCTCGAATCGACAATATGAGCCGCAGTATCAAACAGATGTTCGGGACTAGAAGGATACGGATCGTATGGCCGATCGCCTGGGCCGGAGTTGATTCTTGCGCTGTTGTAAACCATGATTTCGGATGTGGTCGGTATCTCGACATTTTGAGCATCGCTGAGGCCACGAATCTGCTGCAGGATTTCGACCATGGGAAGGACATAGGCCTCTGCGAGAACGTCGGAAGCTATCACGTGGCCAATAACTTTATCCGTGTGGAGGTCGACCACCCATGAACCGGAATCGCCGTGCAGTAGCCCTGGAGGAGCAGTCAGCAGTGTTCCATTCCTAGATAATGCGTCACTTACAGTTAACCCTATAAGTAAGAAATAAATATATAATATTAATATAGTAATAACACTTAGATATAAAAGCTTATATAATTATAACCTTAAATTTAACCTTAAATTTAACCTTATTTACAACCTTAAAGTAACACTACTATATATATATATATAAGATATCTAATATAACCTTTACTTCTAGATATAGACCTATAGAGATTTACTCTCTAGTACTCTATCTCTAAGAAGTATAAAAAGTGGATATATATAAATAGTAACTAGATTTACTCTAGGGTACTAAAAATAGAAATATCTACTTAAATAAAACTAGATATTAAACAGACCGTATTATACTGTAACAAGCTGTAATAAGTAGTGTAACAGGCTGTAACTAGCTTAAAACAAGCTGTAATAATATAAGGTTTTAAATCTATATAATAGTATAATAAGTATAATATAATATAAAGGTTAATATATATATTACTAGAAATATAGAAGTTAGTTAATTATATATAGAGATAAGATCCCCTTAAGGGATTCTAACTCTCTATGCCTTCTAAGCATAATAAAAACTACACCTATCTTTCTACCTATCTATTTACCTATCTATTTAGTTAACCTACTAATCTACCTATTATTTCTTATTATAACTACTTTATAGTAATATAATAATATAGTATAAGCGTCTTAGCTACCTAGGTGCTAAGGCTTTATAAAAGATTATAAATACTATATATAAAGTATATTTAACTTAAGTTAACACTATAATAATATAAGACTATAATTTATATAGTTTTAGTAAAATAAGATAGTAAATTTACTACTAGTCTTATAAATTAATTATAAATATAGTACTAAGTAATTACTTAGTACTAGACTTTTATAATCTTAAATAAGGGTATATAAGATACTACTTAGTAATAATAATCTTAAATTAGGTAATAAGCCTTATATAGAATTTCTACTTATATAGCTACTACTAAGATACTATTAAATTGATAATAAAGGGCTTTTTTATAATACTAAAAACTAAATATTTAATTATACTAAAAGTTATTAAGGCTAACTAAGAAATCCTATACCTTAAGTAACTTATAGATATACTTTTTAATTATAAGATCTTTATTAAGCTATTAGTAGTAAATACCTAGGCTTAAAATAAAGGCGCTAAGTAGATTACTATAATTATTAAACTTAAGGTATAATATATATATATTAATATAAAATCACCTAAAGTCTTATAGCGTAAAATTATAACTATAGCTACTTATCTTTATAATTAAATACTATTAGTAGCTTAAAGTTAGAAATTACTATATTAACTATTTTACTTATATCTTATACTTAATAACTATACTAAGTCTTTACTAATAGTAAAGCTAGATTTTTTAATTTATAAGCCTATAGCTACTAAGTGTATATACTAATAGTAAATATATAACTATTATAAAACTACTAGTAAAAGCTTACTACCTATATATAGATTAAATTTCTTATTAGATATATATTTAGTAATTTATATTACGTTTAGTATTTAGTATAAAATAAGGTTTTTACTATATATAATATAATATTTAATAAGAAATAACTCTTTAATAAATTAATAAATAGATTACTTAATAAGCTTTATAAAGCTAACTTTATAGTAATTTAATAATATATTAACTAGCTAATAGTAGCTAGTAATTAATACTCTTTATATAAATAAGCTAATAAGAAAATAAATAAAGTAATAAAGTATACTAATATTACTTTACTAAGGGCTTTATAATTAGGTAATATACTAAAATATCTATATAAGTAAGTAAAGTTTATATATCTTTTTACTTTACTACTATTACTACTAAGTGCCTTTTTTATAGTCTTTATAAATATTAATATAAGAGGTAGTAAAATAAGAACTAATAGTTCTAAATTAATTAATCTAATAGCTAATAGGTAAATAATTACTAATAGTAAAATAATTAATAAGTAAATACCTAAATTAATAGCTAATAGCCTATAAGCTAGTAACTTACTAGTAACTAATAGTTTTAAAGTAATAAGAATAGTAATCTTTTATACCTTATCTTATCTTTATATAATTAATTTATAAGATATTACTAAGCATAAAAAGATATTAAATTCCTAAGTAACTATAGCTAGCCTATTAGGTAATCTCTAGCTAGTAGTAACCTTATTTAAAGGCGTTATAAAAAGGTATTATTTTACTATATATAGAGGTAGTTAGATTACGCTAAGGACCTTATTTAAGACTACTTTCTTTATAAGGCTTACTTTATAGTAAAAGATTATAAACTATATATAAAGCAGCTTATAAGTAATAATATAGTCTAGTATATTATAAAGTTAACTAATAAGTAAAGATTACTACTTTTAGCTAAAGTATACTTATAGCTAAGAATTAATTAACTATATAACGCCTAATAAGTATAATAATTATAAATATATTACTAGTAAATTACTAGTAAATAGTAAAGATATTACTAGACTTTATAAGCTAATAAGTATATATTAGAAGTTACTATACCTTTTATTAATCTATAGATAGTTAAAAAGCTACTTATATAAGAAGTAATTTAAAAACGCTAAAGAAGCGCACTTATATAAGCATAAAATATTAAAATCTTAGGTAATAGTGCTATAAGTAGTAACTAAAAAGTATTAAGTCCTTAGCTACTACTAAGTATATACTTATAAGCTTAATAAATATAGTTAATTAACTAAATTTAAAGTAAGACTTATTATTTATAGTAACTAATAAGTAAAAGATCTATAAGATACTTATATAACTATATTAGTAAGTATATTATTTAAAATACTTATAGTAATAGCTACTTACTTTAACTTAGAACTACTTTAATATAATATAGTAAATACCTTTATTTATACTACTATTAATAAAGTAGTATTTATAAAGATACCTTTAGGCTACTAAATTACTAGCTAGATCTTCTAGTTATTAAAAGCGCTTTATAGGCTTTAATAATCTTCTCTACTATAGTAAAAGCACCTTAAAGAAGGGCTTACTATATAAGGCTTTTACTAAGTACTTAGTAAGAATTACTATTAGAAAAAAGATTATATTATATTTCTTTTTATATTAATAACTATATATTAGCCTATTTATTATAAGAAATAAGGTAGCCTTATATAAGATATTACTATATAACACTACTTCTAGTATAATATTACTTTATAATTTAAGAATAAGGTAGTATTTAGCTATAAAGCGTAGTGTAATACTATCTAGAAATAATAAGCTATTTTTAACTGTATAAATTACCCTTATAGTAAGACTACTTTATAATAGTTATAAGCCTAGCTCTAATTTAAAGTATAACGCTTACTATTATAAAGTAGCCTTACTTTAGATTTACTTTTCTTAAGTTACTATTTTCTTTAAATATTTATAATAAAGCTATTATATTATTAGATATACTTATTAGTCTTATAACTACTTATAAGCTATATAGACTATTAATTATTTATAAAGATTAGTTCTTATAGTATATAAAGCTTTACTTTTTATTAATAACCTATAATATCTAGTAATTTATTAATCTAGATAGCTAAGAGGAGCTCCTTAAGCACGTAGGGAATCTAAGCTATATAGAGTACCTCTATAAGAAGAATATTAAGTAACGTAAGATCTACTATACTGCTTTTTACTTATAGAAGTAGTTACTAACTAAGTAAAAATCTAATACTAATAAGCTAAAAGAACTAATTAATCTTATAAAGATAAATAAGGCTATAAAACATAAATAGCTTATATC